TGCCCGGAGGCCGCAGCGGCCCCTCCCCGCCCGCAGGCCGCGCTGCCCGGGGCTGGGCCAGCTTCTGCCCAGTGTTTTCCTTCATCTGGTTTTCGCTCCGGCGGGGGTCAGCCGGGGCGGCGAGGGACAGGCGAGCAAGCCCGCTTGCAGCGCTCTGCCTTTGCTAGCACTGAGCCGGGGCGCTCACTCCCTGCCGTCCAGACAGAGGCAGCCATTTTGTGCCCCCCACGGAGGCCTCGTGGCTCCGCCAGCCCCCCTCTCCGCTGCGGCCGCCCGGCTGCCGGGAGTGGACAAAGCCGTTTCTCTAAGCGCCAGCATTGGGAGTTATTAAGTGTTCATTAAGCACCCTGGGGGGCAAAGCACTCTCGGAGATGTTTGTTTCTCAATTTTCTATAATTTCCTTATTTTTCCCCCTCGCTAAAGGCAGATTGAAAAATGGACTCGGTGCATCTGAGCCTCTGAATCACAGTAATGCGCCGCCCCCCGCCGCTCACCGCCAGCTCCTCCTGCCTCCCGGTAGCTCCTCTTATCGGCCCAGAAAGTTCTCCTTTAACCCTTCTCGGGGCTTCCCCTCCCGCTTCCTTCTGGACCCTGCCAGCCAGAGGGGCTCAGCGGCTGCACCCCACTGCGCAGGGCTGGGGGCGGCGGCCCACGGCGCAGGGCCCAGCAGGCCATCCAGCACCTGGCGGCGCGCCCAGGCCCCCGCGGCCCTGCGCGTCAGGGGTCCCCAGGACCACGCCTCCCCACGCGCGGGTCCAGAGGGGCCGTCGGAGCCCGACCCGGGCCCACCTGCCCCAGCACCGGGTGATTCTGGGTCTTGAAGAGCAGAGGGAAAGCTCTGTGATTTCCTTTATTTTCTTCCGCCACCAGCCTTATATAACCTCAAAAGTTACCCGTGAATTTACCAAAACTTTTCATGAAGCTGTTTTCGCCTCCGGTGGGGGTGAAAAAACAAGCTCTGTGCAGTCATCACCGGAAAGGGCGAAGCGCGACTGCTGAGCCAGGGAACCGCCTCGCAAACGTCACGGGCGCCCCCTAGCGCCCGGCAGGGGCAGCGCCGGCCCAGCCGCTCCCCGCGAGGCAGGGCCCGGCTCCCGCCGCGGCTGGGGTGGGGGCGCACGCGTGCCCCGGCATGGGGGGCTTGCGGGACCCCCGCAGCCCCAGGGCCCCCTTGGCATGAATTTACTGCCGCTGCAGGAGTCCAGGTGGCTGAGCCCACTGGCCCAGGGCGGGAAGGGGCTTGGGGGGCTCGGCCTCAGGTTAGGGGCGGCCAGGCCGAAGGCCCTTCGCCACCGCCCGGCTCCCTGCGAGCTTCTCGTGTCGCTTCACGGCTGTCACGTAAGTGCCACAGATGTGCGACGATGCCCACGGCCCTGTGCAGCCAGGGCGCAGACCCGGCGGGAGGAGCGGGGAGGCCGGGCAGAGAGCAGGCGGTGGCGAGCCCGCCGGCCAGCAGGGCGGGGGCAGCCGGGCCGGGCTCTCCGCGCCAAGGAGGGGTCCGCCCTCTGCGCCTCGGAAGCCGCTGGCTTCCTTTCAGTCCACTATAAAGACGGCAAAGGCCGACATGCTGAGAGCAGCCCTGAGGGCGAAAACGCCCGAGCCGCGCAGCCCGCAGG